AAAAATAACTTTAAAAGATTTCGGCACACCATAGCTGCAAGATGTGCCACTCAGAACAAGAATCATAAACATATACTAAATTTCAACAATATAAGAAAATGATAATTCAAATATTCTCATCATAATCCTGAATTCATACAACCAAAAACTGCAACAATTTTAAACGAAATAAATATAAAAAACTTACAAAGTTCAAATCCACTAAACGGGGGCTGAAAATAGCAGGATTACGTTAGAGGAACCGTGCAAACAGTGACGGAGGTGAAAAATCAAATGCCTATATCAAAACAAAACATCAAACATAATTTTCAAACACCAAAATTAACATTTTATTAACATCTAGAGTAACATATAGACACAATTCTTGATTAATTAAATTCTCAGAACCATAAAAAATGACTAAACTCGAGTCGCAAATAAATTTAAAATGTCATCGCAAATACCCCACATCTGAAATTATTTGTGACGACAATATGTCATCGCAAATAATCATTCCACCGCGTTTATTCTTGGTCAAATATGTATAGCTTATTTGCGACGACAAAGAGAAAACATCGTTGCAAATAGAGTGATATTATTTGCGACGACACGTGTCGTCGCAAATAAAAAGATATTTGCGACGACAAGTCGTCACAAAAAATGGATTCCCTTTGGCGGCAAAAATCCGCGCCATTGGGAATTGCGCGCCTAAACTATTTGTGACGACATTGAACTTATTAGCGACGACATGCTTAATTTATTTAATGGGGATTAATTGCGACGACATGTCGTCGCAAATAATTAAATATTTGCAACGACATATGTCGTCGCAAATAATATCGTCGCTAATGACCTTTATTGTTGTAGTGTTGGTTGAGGTACGAAAGAATGCACCTCCATCCTCCCTTCTATATAGATCATAGATGAACGAAACTTTTGACATTTTCTTTTACTTTTGTACTCTTTTATTTTTACTTTCCACCCTATATTTCCTCTCTCTTTTCTTTTATTGTCTCCCACTTTTTCAATTTTTATCATCTTCACCTTCTTATATTTTTTTCTTTCCCTCTCTTTTCTCAAAATGACCCACATAAATATATTTTTTTTCTCTAATTCCCTGTAAAAATAATTTTTTTCTCATACATATACCATTGAAATAGATCACTTTTTCAATTTGTGTTTCGCACAAAACGTTTTGCGCGTGACTCAATGCACCTGAATTGTTTCGCATGGAGGTTCTTTTTTTGTTGTTTCTCATTTCATTCCTTTTTTCTTCTTTTGCTTTTGTTTTCTTTTTCTCTTTCGACAAAAATTTAGAATTCAATTATTTGAATTTTTTTCTTTAAATTAAATTTCATATTTATTTATTTATTATTATTATCATTTTTTTGCTGGGAGTTCTTTTCTACTAATAGTATGAAATCTTCGTATAAAACGCAGAAATTTCTTCCACGCTAGAAACTTAAATATCCATCTATATCGTATCACAAAATATTACTTGAAATCTAAAAATAAATAAGATAAACATACCTAAATACCCCAAATAATCCTGAGAGATAAATATAAATCCAACTATAAAATTAAATAATAAAAATAATCCTGAGAGATAAATATAAATCCAACTATAAAATTAAATAATAAAAATAATCCCAACGTAACCCTAATATTCAATTACTTGCATGCCTCCCATAAATTAACCGCCACTGATCATATGTTATCCTTAAGCAAAAGGTATAAATATTAGGGACGTACGTACTCAAAGAAGAAAACTGAATATCCAGAGAAATTCCAGCTTTAAACCCTAACTTCTCATTAAGCCTAGACTCGATCTCTCAATTCTCATCTTAATTTATCCCTTCTAGTTGCCTTCTTCAATATCAATGGAGGTTTCAGAAACAGATCATAATTATGATCAAATGGAGGGCTATCGTGTAGAAGAAACAGCCGTGTTGAATTATTATTGTCCTCCTGGCTACAGATTTGCACCCAGCGATGAAGAACTTATCATGTATTACTTGATACCGAAGAGCCAGGACCAGATTTTTGAGCCAAACTGCATCATTTCAGAGATTACTTTGTCCGATTATACTCCTGAGGAAATAGCAGGTTAGAAACAAATTACCACTTTCTTGGCTTTTCTTTTCTTTTTTGATTTGTTATAGTTTTTCTCATTCTATGGTTCTGAAGTTAAAGATTTCTTTTCACGATATTTACTTTCATGGTTTGCGTTTTACTTCAGTTACTTCTAATCGTGATTATTGTGAAGTCTAACATATTCTTTCATAAATGAAAGCAAGATTAACTAATTTATGCATATAATATAGAGAAGGAAGAACTTATATTTGCTAACACAGTCTGATATATATTATTTGTTTCATTTATATTCCCAAAATCTGCCTTTGCTTTGGAATCAACATCAATATTTTTCTTTTACTCAAAGAATGAAAACTGAATATCCAGAGAAATTCCAGCTTTAAACCCTAACTTCTCATTAAGCCTAGACTCGATCTCTCAATTCTCATCTTAATTTATCCCTTCTAGTTGCCTTCTTCAATATCAATGGTGGTTTCAGAAACAGATTTTAATTATGATCAAATGGAGGGCTATCGTGTAGAAGAAACAGCCGTGTTGAATTATTATTGTCCTCCTGGCTACAGATTTGCACCCAGCGATGAAGAACTTATCATGTATTACTTGATACCGAAGAGCCAGGACCAGATTTTTGAGCCAAACTGCATCATTTCAGAGATTACTTTGTCCGATTATACTCCTGAGGAAATAGCAGGTTAGAAACAAATTACCACTTTCTTGGCTTTTCTTTTCTTTTTTGATTTGTTATAGTTTTTCTCATTCTATGGTTCTGAAGTTAAAGATTTCTTTTCACCATATTTACTGTCATAGTTTGCGTTTTACTTCAGTTACTTCTAATCGTGATTATTGTGAAGTCTGATATATTCTTTCATAATCGAAAGCAAGATTAACTAATTTACGCATATAACATAGAGAAGGAAGAACTTATATTTGCTTACACAGTCTGATATATATTCTTTGAACTTATATTTGCTTACACAGTCTGATATATATTCTTTGTTTCATTTATATTCCCAAAATCTGCCTTTGCTTTGGAATCAACATCAATTTTCTTTTTAGGAAAACGATCGATGCATGGAAGATCTTTAGGTAGATTAAATGCGAAAAACGTTTTACAAGTTTTGCTTACTTCATATGTTAATCTGAATTAATGTTGTGCAGAAAAATAAAAGCCACAAGTAGAGGGAACATGGTACTTTTTTACGCTGAAAGTTCGAAAGTCGAACAATGGAAAGCGACGGAACCGACTCGCTGGAGATGGATATTGGAGACTAGCAAACACAACAGATGTATACTCCGATAATGGCGTGAAAATTGGATCCAAGAGTTTATTGGGTTTCCATAGAGTAATCCCAAATGTAAAGGAGGAAAAGACTGATTGGATTATGCATGAATTCTCAGTACTCCCTAGTTTGGATCGAAAGAGAAAACTTACTACTCTTGGAGAAGAAGACATGCTCAAGGTATGAGACTTTTACTCTCGTTCCTTCTCCTTACACTTATTTTTAATTTTTAAATTTAATTTTAAATCTCATTAGTTTTTTTAGCCCCCAATTTTTATATCGTCTCGAAACGAGCCCCAATCCCTCCGACTCTTTTATTAATTTTTCAGTTGTGCCCTAAATATGTAAAATTATTACATGATTAAATGCGACTAAACCGCCCATATTGCTCTTTAGTTTTCATTAGCGTCATATATCCTTCCTTTTTCTCCAACTATATTAAATTAACACTTGGTTTTCGTTCCAGCTTGAAGATGGCTATGTTCTTTGTCAGATGTATAAGAGAGGCTCCACTAAAACCAACAAAGTTCTGAGGAGATCAAACAAAAACACAGAGCTCCAAATTCTGCCTCATAATTATGTGGAGACTGCGCCAGCTAATTTAGAATATCATGCGCATGATGATCATGATCAGAACTCAATGCTTCTCTCGAAGACGCCCGGCCGCATTGATCACGGAGCACTAACCCTCGTGGAAACCCCGCCATCCACGTCGGTCTCTGGCGAGAATCGCAATCTCGGAGGACTTTCGTCCGACGCAATACTCGGTGCGGTTCCTCCCACAGCTGCTGCTGACGACGGTGATGAGCTCACTGCTTTTTTGTTGAAGGCTTTGGATGCTGAAGACTATTATTATGCACAGCTTATGGAGAATTCTCTTCCAACGACGGCAACAACATCTTCCAGTAATATTACTGATGTTAGCCCTCAGAAAGCAAACGACAAGGATTTGGTTTTGAGGGGTCTGGAGGAGGTGAATCAGCTGATTAGTGACTTCTCCAATCATATTAGTACTCCTATTGCTCCCAATTGGGATACTGCTACTACTAGTACGACATGTTGTTTGTAATACAAAGTTCTTCTAGCCTTCTCTAACGACATGTC